AGAGAGAAAGGATTAAGAATTAACGGGAAGAACGGCTTCTACTGTACTATTTTAGATGCGATTTTTTGTTTTTATCTGCGTTTTAGTAGGGTATGCCATGGCAATGCACACTAAGAAGGGATTTTTCGAAATTCTCCCACGGACGGTAGAGGTAGAGGATTTAGTCTTCATCTAGTACTTAGGTGTATTAAATTAATAACATTTCAGATATTGTTATAAATATTTTTATCTATTTCGATTTTAAAAATGTTCAAACCGTTTTAAATTCGAATTTGTTATTGCATATTGATTCGATTATAGAACGATTGTAAACGTTCCAGAAAATTGATCAAATTGAAAACAGTTCGTTTGATTCTCGGCAATTCTCATCATTCTCAGCGGTAGGTGTTATATAACAGTTACTATGGTTGTTGAAATACTGAATGTAAATGGGGTTTGCTTGCAAAATCCGCGCGGGCAAAGCCGCGAGTAACAGCTAGTTTAAAATATACTTTGATTATATTGATATTAATTTAACCCAGGATGGTATTTCATCACTACAAAGGAATCATCAGGCTACTTTTTAAGCATTTTTTCAGTGAATAATCAGGCATTCCTATCGAAACTGAAACTACGTCTTCTATATAAATGGAATTTTTCATCACTATCATCATCATCATTATTATCATTAACCCATCTCGATTATAAGATATAATATAAAAATAAGATACAGACTTATTACACATTTTAATAAAATCCATCTCTAGCCTGATGATTAAGTTCTTTGCCATTTTTTAATAAATAAAAATATAAAAAGCTTTTTCATAAAATATCATGACAGNTATTACACATTTTAATAAAATCCATCTCTAGCCTGATGATTAAGTTCTTTGCCATTTTTTAATAAATAAAAATATAAAAAGCTTTTTCATAATAAAACTAGCAGACCCCGCCACGCGTTGTTGTGGCTTAAAATGTATCTATTATAAATGTACAGTATAACACTTTTCTGGGGAATACACTAAGAAGGGATTTTTCGAAAAATCCCTTCTTAGTGTACATTCTCTTGACGTACCCTATTAAAACGCAAAAAACGCATCTGAAATAGTATAAATAGAAGCAGAGTTTTTTACTGTAAGCCTTAATCCTGTCCATCTCCCCCAGTGCGGGAAATTTCGACACGTATATTATATAAAAACACGTGCGCATTTGAATGCAGCGTTGTGTCAAAATTTCAAAGGAATCGGTAGGAACAAANTTATATAACATTAAAATATTTAGTATATTACTAACTCGACCCAATTTTGTCAGAAATTAGCTGATGTTTCGTATAACCGAATGAGCAATCGTGTTTCTCAATAACGTACTATTTGCACACATTTCTCTGAGTAATATATTATATATAATTTAAACAATTATGCATTTTTTTGGTATTAAATCAGTTTTATTAATTCAATCATTTTATTGTATTCAAATGATTAGGAAATTCCCATGGATTTGCACATTGAAAGCCGTCAGGATGCTTGCATCTTTTCGGTGGGTTTTACCGCCGCACAGATACTGGGAATACTTTGCATCGCCCTAGCTGCCACTTGGACAGGGAGTTATTTAGGTGGTTTTGCATGGCAGAGTAATCCACCACTACAATTTAATTATCATCCATTGTTCATGGTAATTGGAATGGTTTTCTTTTATGGAGATGGTAAGTTATCAGAGAATTTTTGAAATAATATTTGATTTAGTTAAGAATTTTGCTAAATTTATTATTCTCATATTTTACTTTGATAAATTATTACATCTTTATGCTATAGAAAAATTGACTTTCAAATATAAAATTTAAATAATTATGCTGACTAATTTATAGTGTTATACAAGTATAAGTCTGGAATCATAGGAATTGTGTTGATTTTTGTTTATTCTTTTACTGGTAAAGCATTGCACTGTGTAAGATGGAAAAAATTCAAGTTGTTTTGATGGTGGGTATCCACATTCGGTGTGAAGTTTAACTGTTTAACAGGATGCATCTAGACCAGTGTTTCTCAATGGGGGCGATTTTCTATGTTGAGAGGGCGATTAGTAATAATTTATATTTGGGGGCGAAAAACAATTTTCTGGGTGATATAGTAAAACATTATATTAAGAATAATTAGATATTTTATTCGTTATATCATACAATAATTAAACAAATAACATTATACTAGTCACTAGTCTATTCGATGCAGTATGAATTTGGCATTAGCCTTGGCCCTCGGCATCGGAATTTTGAAGTGAAGGGGGCGATACTACATAACGTTTTTATTGAAGGGGGCGACGATTCGTTACAGGTTGAGAAACACTGATCTAGACCGTCCAGCATATGCTACAGTAGCCTGAATTCATCCTGTTTAACACTTCAGCAACTTTTTGTTGAATGTAGGTTCCCACCATCAAAATAATTTGAATTCTTTCTTTCTTACTCAACATCATGCTTTACTTGTAAAGTAATAAACAAAGATCAACATAACTCCTATTGTTCCAGACTTACATAAAATTTAATCAGAGTATCCTACATGTGAACAATAATATACAAAGCCTGGAGTAATCAATTGTAAATCTAAACTGCCGGGCTTTTGGGTTAAATTTACTCTCATTTTTAATTAATAAGACAAAGTAAAACATGTAAGTAAACATATATATAGTTGATTTTATTAGTAGAAAGAATTTAATGCAAGTTCTGTTTATTTTATCGTACACATATATTGAAAATGACCTTGACTAGATTGTACACATTTGCAGACTAGAGTTAGTCTGTGAGCCACATGTTGCCCAACTGTCATTTTCAGTATATTAAAGTTTTAATTTGGAAATGAGTGTATTTGAAGTTTTCCATCTTTTCCCAACATATATTAAATAATAAAAAATTTGCAACGTTAAAGTATTTTTTAATACTGCAATTTATTTACTTCTTATGATCCAGATTTGAAAAATATTTAAACAATAAGACACACTGCTGTTTAATATATAATAAACAGATTAACATTTAGACGTACAAACCTAAATCTATTCGCGTTTTTCACGAACTATACAGGGCGCTGCATTTTTACAAAATGGCTACTTTATCTGGGTGGCTTGTAACTAGTAATGTAAAAATTAGTCATATATTACTGTCCAATATAACGATGTATGCTGCTTGTGACTGTTTATCGAGAAATTTTATAGGAGGAGGAGAATTATTGATAGCGGGACACGTCATTACGTGTTATCGAAACAAATGAGCGAGATCGTTCTATACAGATTTGTGCCCTTTTATGTTAACATCAGTATTTGACATTGTCCTATCAGAGCCGGATTTACAAGTAAAGATTTTTAATGGAAAGGGTATAAAAATTTTATTAAATTTGGTTATAAAACAGAAGGCTAGTGAAACTTCACATCTTTTTCTTCCAATATCCGTATTATATCAGTCTGATTTGATTCTTTTCTTTTTATAATTGACTTATAAAATTGTCAAGGGTTGGTAAGGGACCTTACAGAGTTCAGCTTAGATCATCGAAATACTTAAATCTGACCCTGTGTCCCACACAAAATTACTGGCATTTTAAACTTTAAGAAAATGTGTTTTAAAATAACAGCATAACTTGTTCGTGTAAAGCTGGACAATCGAGAAACTGCCAATTCTTAACAGTCTAATCCACTGTTTCAGAATTCGGAGAAGCTCAAATATAACCGACTGATTTCCAAATAATCATCTGTTTTTCGTATGGGAATAGACGAAAACTTATATTAGGATCCCGTAAGGCTTTGAAATTACAATTTGGAAAGCAACAGAAATCTTTATTGCTGATAATACACAAAAATGAATCAAACGACCCAGATAAAATAGTTTTGTTTTTAAACACCAAAAATGCGAATTGCCTGTACTGTATTTGATATTAATTTATTTTATGAAATACTTATTTAATGATAAATAATGCTAGTAATAAAAAGATTTAAGTTTTTATTAGTGAAATGTAACATTAGTAATTGAAAAAATTATTAATAATATCAAGTTAACTGTATTTAAAATTATTACAAAAAGTTAATCTTTACATGTGTGTATATATTATATATGTATATAAATACATGCATAGTTCGATCATTTATGAATGTTATATTTAAATATGAACATGTGTGTAAATATGGATATCATCTTTGTTGTTAAAATTGCAGTTGATGTAGGGTTGAGATGTTTCGTCATCACATTACAAGCATTTAAATCAGAGGATTTTGGTTTTAAATCCATGATGGACGGTTAATGTCGAAATGAAAGTCACTAAAACGCTGTCCTATCTGCTGGTTGGGATAGAGAGATCAGTATATTGCAAACTGAAAGAAGATACAGTCGACCCCCCTATAACACTGTTGATAATTCCGTTTTATATGAATTCCATGTTGTACGAGTCACTTAGATTTTACAAATACATGTGCCGGACTGTGAACAGGTCACGTATTTGTAAAATCCGTGACCTGTTCATAGCCCGGCACATGGACACGGAATTATCAACAGTGTTCTAAACAGATAGAATCTTGTGTCTCTCGAGAGACACAAGATTCTATCTGTTTAGAATACTGTTGATAATTCCGTTGATAATTCTGAATCTTGTGTCTCTCGAGAGACACAAGATTCTATCTGTTTAGAAATGGGCAATCAATGGGTCAATCTAGGTTCCTGTCCACACTTTCCAATTGGTTTCATACCTGTTTCAGATATAATGCGAGACCAGTTTGGGCCACAAGAGATGTTAATGTTTAAATTGATGCCGAATTGGTCGATCTTAGGACTTACATTGTTTATTTCAGTTCCTTTGTGGTGTAAATGAAAATATTTTCTCTCTGTTTTTTCTTTTTCTTTCAAAAATTTTGCTTAAATTTTATCCATTATTAAGATTGTTTTCAGGTTCTGTAATGTTCCAATTTTGGAATGTAAAAACGAACAATGACGTATTATAAAATGGAAAGGATTTCCACATTTAATTACAAATAAAATTTTCTCTAGTGAGATAAGATGCATTTAAAATTTTTTTTAATCCTATAAAAATTACATTGCGCGCAAATATTTCCGTTAAATAATGGTTTTCGACTAAGGTATCGCTTTACGTCGTTAGGAAAGCCCATTAAATGGAGCATAGTGTGCTCGATCTGTCCCAAACGTATCTTTACCATTTCGAAGTAAGAGAATTTTTTGTAATCTTTGTATGAACAAGAGCTTTATTGCTCTTTGTATGGTGGGCACTAAGGAAGCCTTTATTTCCCTATCCATTTTGGATTCGGCCAGGTGCAAGTTTGCAAGACTAGTTACTTTTATACAATAAATTTCGTAGTTATAGGGCCTTATCTGACGAATAGTCTAGTCACGTAATTCAGTATTTCGATTATTCAAATTTAAAAGTATCTCGTAGACACAAATCTGTGGGTCTGATTTTAAGTTCGTCGTTTTTTTTAATGAAAAACACCATGTGTGTTGTTAGGAGCTGTCCATAAATGACGTCAACATTGGGAGGGAGGGGTTGAATTTCGATGGGTGACGTTTTATTTCATTAAATTTTATGAATAATAAAGTGATAAAGGGTTTGAGAAAGATTAAGTTTTGTTGGGCGTCCGAAGAGGCTAGGGGTTACGAAAACTTGGATAAATTGGGACAATGGGGGAGGGAGAGTAAAAATGCCAAGAAAACTACGGACGTAATTTATGGACAGAATTGTTTTGAACTAATGATTATATAGGAAAAAAATTTTCAATGGTTAAAGCTGTGTGTGGTTTGTCCCGCATGTTGCTCAGCACAGCTTTAAACAAAAACGTCTGTATAGAGGAAGCACGCTATCATATTCAAGAAATGTTTATCATCTGGAATTCGGCATGCCACTCTTTACAACAAGCGGCATGGAGAATATTTTGAAGCTAACTACAATTTTATATATTATACAAACACATCTACAGTTTTAAACGGGATGAGTAACGAAACAATTTGTTCAGGCTGGCTGTGACCTGTTCGGTTACGCACCGTCATCTCCAACATAGGATATTATGTAGAAATTGTATAACGTATGAAATTTTATTTTAATTATACTATAGCATTTATAAATATATGTAAATTAGTGATATTCTCGATACCCATTAATTGTTTTTGAATTGTCGTTACAGCTATAATGGTGTATCGCGTGTTACGAAACGAGCGAAAGAAGCTACTGAAACTAATTCACGGAGGTCTGCAGGCTCTGGCATTCGTCTTTACGGTAGTTGCATTGAAAGCCGTGTTCGATTCTCACAATCTGGTGAAAAAACCCATTCCCAATATGTATTCTCTGCACAGTTGGCTCGGATTAGCCACCGTCCTATTGTTTTGTCTACAGGTAACCTGGACTCTGATATTTTTTTCCTGATATTCTCCACCCGTAATTCAGAACGATGAATTCTTTTCAGTTTGTTTGCGGATTTGTGGCTTTTCTCTTTCCCGGATTAGTACAAATATGGCGAAGTCGTTACTTGCCTCTTCACGTGTTCTTCGGTCTGGCCATATTTGTTATGGCCATCGCTACCTGTCTGGCTGGAATTACCGAAAAACTGGTTTTTAAATTGTAAGTATTCTCAATTTACAGTACTTTATTGCACTCATTTTTTTTATTCTGTACTGTATGAAGTGTTATGTAGAGTGTACAACGTCCTTTTTTAAACACAGTGAAGTTATTGAACAGTCAGTTGATTGAAGTATTACAAGCATATAAGGAATAAAGGCACGGTTCCAAATAGAAAATTTGTTCTACTGTTAATAGTTTAGACTGCCATCTGTGACGAATGAACCAGGCTGCCAGAGCTATGGGCTCTTGCACCTAATAATATCTTGTAGGTGACGTAAAACAGTCAGGTAGTACTCCTCTGTCACAGTTTGTCCACCAGGAGCGTACACGTGACAAACGCCCGGTGGTCGAAAAATAAGGTCAATACGACCTTCACACTGCTGCGATTGTTGCATCTTCCACTGGGATGATTATGCGTTTTTCTCTGGGACATACCTGTAGACCCAGATCTCATCTCTGGTTATAATCTTCACGAAATTAGGATTTGTCACGTTTCCGACAAATCACGCTATCACGGCTGGCCGGTGGTGACTGCAGGATAGAACGGACTTGATAAAATTCACAAACGCCCTAGGGTTCAAGGTCACACGCGGACAGTCTCATCAGTTGGCAAAAACGTTTAAAGAGAAAAATAAGGTGCGATACTCTTTTGATTAGACCTTGTATGCAGGACGCACACAGTAGGCCAATAAAATATAGCGTGCAAATACTATACATTAAATTTTCAGGAAAATCTACAAACTAAACTTGGACACATTTATACGTAGGATATACAGCAGAACTCGAGTTTATCCGGCTGAAACGGGACCAGGCCCGACCGGATGACATATAGATTTCATATTTCTTCTCCACCGTCACTTTCTTTTAGACGTCATTTTCACGGTGTTTATTTCACACAGATCGAAGATGAACACGTGGGTGTCGAGCGAATAACGACTGGCGAGGTTACAAACGATAAACTTGTTAAACGGAGTGCGACGAGCAGCACATTTTTATTCGACGGGCAACTTATCATAATTTTCAATTACTAACGAGCAATTATCTGTGACGACGTCACAAATATTTTAAATCAATTTAATATATATGCTCTCCACCTCAAATTAGTAGTCTTACCCCCGTACATCATATTTCCCCTTTAGCAATCGAGTCGTGCCGATCATTAACCTCCTTTCAGAGGAAATTTTTGAATCGAAATAACGGTGACTTCCGGTTTTCATCGGAAGTTCGATTATAGTTAATCGAGGCCTCCAGCCCTTAATCTGTACATTGTGTTTGACAGGGATTATATTTCCCTTTTACTTTTCATATGAAAAGTAAAAAACACCGTTTCATTGGAATAAAAGGAGTTTTCTAATCGGATAAACGGATTCCAATGTAAGAGCATAGTAATGTGTTAAAAAAAGAATTCTTACGAACAGAAGTAAACGCCTAAATTTTCTGCAGGTTACATAAACGAATAGAATACGGAAAGGGGGCCATATTTTGTTTAAAGCGAGTCTTATTTTATTTTCGTCTGCGGGAAACCGAATACAGTATTAAGTAAAATTTAATACCACGCTAAAGCGCGGAGGATAGCGAGAAGTGATCGAAAGAAAAAGAATTCGTACAGAGCATTAAGAGCACTGTTAAATGCGTAGTGTTAATGCCAATTGTTAATCTTTAAATTCGAGCGAAACACTAAAAAAAGTAACTTGTCTCTTTCGCAGGGGCGTCGGTTATTCTTCGCTTCCGGCGGAAGGGGTCATCGCCAATTTATTGGGAGCTTCGCTAGTGGTTTTGGGGATCCTGGTGGTTTATCTGGTGTCGTCTCCCCGTTTCCGTCGCCAACCTCTTCCGGAAGAAGACGTGCTTCGACTGGAACCTCATTCCCCCGTCAACTGATTGATCGTCGGCAAGAAAACCTCGCATTAACGTCTCACGACGCCATTTCGCTTTTATGTCGAGTCGAATAACGGATTTCTAAAGATTTACGAAATTTCAGAAACGGTAATCGAGTTTTATTCTCTAAAACAATCTAAAATTTCTTTTCGGCCTTCTCCTTACCCGCGTAAGGAAGGCCGAAAAGAAGTTCCAAAACACCCCTCGAAGTTTTACGCTAACGAGATTTAAAAGTAAGCATTTCCGTTGAGTAGTCACAATGTTAATTGTCGTTCACTATTATTCGTAACCTATTGTTTCCGGATAACGTTTTCCAGTTCCTACTACGAAATAACGCAACCTAGTCTTTATTATTTATTCTAGTCGACACTTTGGACTAAAATGCCAGAATGTTAATTAAGTTTTAAAAGTTTTCGCGAGATGTTACATATTCGTGCGCTTTTGTTACGCGTATCTGTATATTCGTAATAACGAAAACCTTACTACGCTTCATTCTTCGGAGTACAAATTAAATGGGTGTAAAAAAAAAAAAAAAATATTGTACGAAACCCAGTGTGAGTGCTAACGTTTGTAATTATACTACTTTACTAGAATAAAAAAACAGCCCTTCGACTGCAACTTTATTTCGGCATAACCTTACCCGGTTATAACGAATCCGGACGCGTCCGCGAGTGGATTTTACGGCGCTCGAAACACCCGTTAAGAAAAGAACAAACGGATAATACAAATTCCAAACATACATTTTTTTATTGGCCTTTGCTGCATTGGGAAAAAAACTTCCAACAATTGAATCGTTAACAGCCCCAGGGTTTTTTTTGAAATTCTTCAGACTTCGGCCGAGCACAATAAGCCTTTTTTTTTGTTTTGTTTACTTTTTATCGTACTCGGCTTAGGCAAAAAGATGGACAGATGTCGATGAACAAAATGCCCGCTCTGAAGTTTTGTTTTTATTTATACACGATCGAGGAAGCCTTCTGATGGCAGGACTGAGGCACTACTAAAAAATTCCTACGATGACACTTTAGAATCCTGGAACTCCGTTTCGAAACAATATTAACACACTCGGTGTCCATTCGCACTAAAGGAAAAAAGAATCCTACTCGTAGTTTAGTTCTCTGGTACAAAATTAAAAACAAAACAGGAGAAAAAAATTTTTTTCTGTCTTTTTTTTTTAATGTCCCGGTCACACACAGTAAGTACGAGTTCTTAGAAAGGTGGTGGTGGTGTTGCTTCTTTTGTTGTTTTTATTTATTTTTTGTTGGTTATTTAGGTGTAACTTCTTACCGTGATGCCGCCGTCGTTTCTTCTTCCGCGTGAACATTCACACAATCGACACACGCACGCCACACGCACAATAAACTTGTTTCTGTCGTTTCTTCAAAAAAGTCCGGCCGCATAAAACACGTCGGCCAGAGAGAAACGTCGTGTATAAGTAATCCTAAAAAAACCTGAATCGATAATAATAAACGGATAGTTGTAATAGTAGTAGCAATGATGGGCTCTGTAACACGGCAGTCGGTGCTTTTGCGTTTTCCTTCTTTTTGAAGGAAGGAAAAAAGAAAAACGGCTCCTCTGACAACAATAGAAACTGGTGATTTTGGAGGACCGGGTGTTGTTGTTGTTACCGCTGCTGCTGCCAGCGACTTGACGTAAATTCCTTTCTGGCCGAGATGATTATTTTTTGCCTCGTTTAACAAAAAGAAAAACACAACGTGTAATGGGCTCCCTCGTTTTCTCACACCTCCGCGTGACAAATGTCCCATAAAACGCGACCGAAACACCAAAAAATCTCCTGCTGCCTCTTCTTTTTTCCCACGCAGACTAATTATGCACAGCATTACCAACACTTGATCGATTCATTTGAATGTTTTTCTCAAATCGGGAGCTGATTATTATTATTATTATTGTTATTAAGTTACACTCGGCACTTGTTCAAAATGGTTGGTTTGTTTTTTTGATGTTCCTGTGTAACCTGCCAACAGATACTTCGGCAAAGTAAAAAACAAAAAGGGGAAATCAAAACGGGAAAAAACATTTTCTTTTTTTTTAACAAATGGAGGCATTGACACATTCTGCAAGTAAATGAATTACTAGTTTTAAATATCGGGCACGCGCGCCATGGCCAAAAAACACTCCCCTCTTCCCTCACGTAATAAAAACACTTTCTCTTATTGGATGAACGACAAAGACGACGACGACGGTTACCGTCCAATTAAATCTTTATATATATATATATTTATATATATTGCAAGCGAGAAACGAAAGGAATGTCAAGAATATGTTCCTGTATTTTCGAGTTAAAAAAAAATTAATTAATTAATTTCTTCCGGGCCGTTCCTTCGAGTGCCGACCGAAATTAAAAAAAACATTCGTCGTACTCGAACGCACCGGAACGGCCTTTCGAAACGCTCGGATATTATTTAAATTTACTTACAAGGCACGATTAAAAGCCTGCTTAGGACAAAAAGTTTTGAGACTTATATATATAGAAATCTAACGTCTAAGCCTCGACGTACTCCGTTCATAAAAACCAACAGAGCACACGAATAAAAAAATAGTACAGCACTCGATAACAGCCACTTTTTTTGGTTTTTGTAGTTTTTTTTTGTGTGTCAGAACCATGCCTACCAGCAGATAAATCTTATTAGTGGCATGTGGCAAATTACAAAAGAACAATTTGTATTTTTTTTTTTCTTACAATTATAGTGTAAACCCTGAGCACAATGTCAATTTCTCGATACAGGGAAGACAGGAATGACTGACTTGAACACAGGATTTTTTTTTTGTTTGTATCTAAATCCATTCTCTCCACTTCCCGAAACTTTGATCCAAATGGGGAGTAGTAATGCTTCTTCGTGATGCGCCCGCTTAGGAAGGGTTCGGATTTCGAAGTTTTGTTTTCACGAAACACTCAAATCGGATGCATACTTTTTGCACTGGAAGAGTCTTCTATACAAAGGCCCTTTAATTTTTTTTTATTTATTTTTTTAAAAAAAAAACTTTATTAAATGGCCGTTTTGAGCCTCTGGAAGGTCGTCACGCATTCCTTTCCACTTGATCCCGAACGTATTGTTTATATTTTAATAAAGAGCACCAAAAATCCATATCCGGACGATATACGTGAAACAGAAAATATAATTAAAAGAAATGCACAGGAGGATCTTGACGTTGAGACATCGCTGGCGTGAAGACGAAAAATAAAATAAAAAGGGTCCCTCCGACGGTTCACACAGACAGAATAATCATAATTACAAGACGATGAGAATACAAATCGGCGCGGTGCCCGTTAGTTAGGCTCGTTAATTAAAAAAAAAAAAACGGCGCACCAACTCAAGAAAAAAAAATCATCTCTCGAACCCACTCGGAAGCTTGGGCCTTTTTCACCCTCCTTTCTTCCAAAAATACACTTCGCAAAATCTTTTATACACAATAATAAGTTACTCCACAAACACTAAATATCATAATTTACAATTTTCTAAAATAATAAAAAAAAAAACTCGTAATCTTGATCGCTCGCTTCAGAATCCATTCTGTCCACATTTTCTTTTTCTTCCTATTTTAAAGACCGTGCGACTGGATCAAGTGCAGAAAGGAAATACTGCAACCACCGTTAAATATATTTCTTCTTCTTTAGTGTTGTTACTATTTTTTCCAACTTGCCGTTCTTTTTTCCGCTTTAGGGCTCGACCCAAAGCACCATTATAAAGGGCTTTTTTTTATTATTTTTTTTAGTGTTTTTTTCCAGAACTGTTCCACAAATATTTACCTCTTTGGTACCTACAGTTTCGGCCGCTTTCGCACGTTGTTTTAGTTTCTTCTCTTTCTTTTAAACCGTCATCCCACAATTTTGGAAGGTAAAATTTCTTAGAAAGCCGCTAGTAGGTAGTCAAAGAGGCCAACTTATTTTTTTCTTTTTTTTGTTTTTGTAATTTTTTTTTTCTTGCCACGCTATGCTAAACTACTACTAAAGCTATGTCTACAAGTCTACTGCTAAATTGTAGACATAGATTGGGGGACCAGGGACGAGACGAGAGACGACATTTAAAATTTGTTTCCTCACAACCACCGTTAGACGAACCTGAACATCGAACACGTTTTTTTCTTTTTTTTTTTAAAAACAAACATCGTGTGTTTTTTTTCGTTTTTCTCTTCTTAAACTCAAAAAAACAAGATTACGTAATTAAACAAGTAGTAGAGAAAAAGATCAAAAAACTGTGCCACCGGAGAGAGAAATATTAGCCACAAATTCCATACGATAAAAAAATAATCAAAACAAGATGCGTTTTGTGGCACTTTTTCCGTTTCTTTTTTTTTTGTTTTCACATAAAAAAATTCCCCTCGGTCGGGATGTCTCCGTTTTTCTCTCTCTAAAGCTGTATTTTTTTTTTGTTAAATTTTTTTCTTTTTTTTTTTGTGTGTGTGAAACAGTTTAAGTTACTGTTAAATGGCTGCCACGTCCATCGACGGTTCTAAAAAAGGGAAACTACTTCTTGCTGCGATATACTATAAGTCGAGGAATGTGATGGGCACTGGCAACCATTTCCATAGCTTTTGTTTGTTTGTTTTTTTTTTTGTTATGTTTATCGTCTTCGTTACCGATGTTCGCCAACTCGCTAAGTTAATAACAACAGACGCCGACTGGCGTCGAGTAGAGAATCTCGAGAAATAACACTGTTTTTTTTTTTAAAAAATAGCCTTTGGGATCAATAATAAAATAAAGGTACTTCTCTGCAACTGTAAAACTGTTTCATCTAGAAGGTAAAGAACTTCTCATCACTTTGAAATACAAGAAAAAACAAAGTAACAATCATCGTTCTTGATCATCGGAACAACAAGTCTTGCCATGGACATCTTGAACCACTTTTTTTTCTAGGTGATGAGGTTGCAGGACTGCGGTCACTTTGCCGATTTGTTTCACATACTTTATTCAGATCTGGAATAAAAAAAGAAAGTAAATTACAATAGAAAGAGTTAAATGAATAAGAATAATACAAAAGTACGGCTGCGGTAATTAGAAATCTATATTTTCGTGTTTAGGGGGAGCATTAATTAAGGCATATTGTAATTGGATTTAATGGGTTTATAATTACTTTGATGATGATTTTTGTTGTTAGTGATGATGCATCTTATATTTGCTTTTTCGTACGTCTGCGATTTATACAATTGTATTTTATTCATTCAAACGTGTGAGTACTGTTTAACGGAGAGAACTCTGTTAAACAGTAACTCATCTAATTCGAAAAATTTTGTTCGGTTATGTACAGCTACTGTATTTTGGAATTGTTTACTTTTTCTTTTTGGTCTTGTAAATATTACAAATAAAATAAATTACAAACTGAAAAAAAAAACCTTTCAATGTGTTATTAATTGCAACCAGTATAAAATTAAATTCCTAGTGGAACTAATTTATTTCTGAAAGTTCTCTACTAAACTTGTATTTATTCATTTGAGTTTATTTAGTTTGATTGTCAATTTGGATTTACTTATGATTGGTCCTCTTATTACATTCAATTCAAATTTAATTTCCTTCTGTTTCCTTTAATAATTAATATTTAAGAAAACAGTAAAGTCATTTGCATGAATGGTTGCCTAAGTGTGATTTCGGTAGGTTTGGTTTGGTGGGATACCGCAAAGCAACATGTGGCGGAGGAGTTTCTATGAGAAACTGGTCCAAATTTTTTTCCATTTAACTACTTATAAAATCTTTATAAAAGTGGATACTATATAAGACAGTTATTTCTCCTCTCTGAACGTCCTTTCCTCGGAGTTGCGTGTCTATAAAATATACCTTTTGTCAATGTTCTTCTCAATATGGAATTGTTTGTATGCAACGTTTTCTGGCTTTTGCATTGTTTGGCATTAACTGCGATAGTGTAATTACATTATGGGTTTCTTTTCTACTATGATTGTAAAACTGATTTTTTGCCATTATTTCTTTTTCTTTGAAAGTGGTTCTCTTATTCAACTAAGTGAATAATGAGGTCAATGTTCTTTCTTACACAGAATTACATTGTAATAAATTCAATGTTTAAGAATGAAATGTTTTCTATTATTTATCTGATAATTTTTACTTAAATTAATTGTCTTAAATTGTTATCTAATTATGGTTAACGTAGAAAAATAAAGTAACAAATTTCAATATATTTTATATACAAATGAATAGAAGTGGAAGTTGTATTCTACAATATACTTTGAAGCTGTGTAAGAAAAAGAGACTTCAATTAACCTAAAATTAAAATGTGATTTCATTAGATAATTAAAATCACTTCTAAAATAAAATTTAAATACTTCTGAAATCTGTAATAATTAGAACTTAATTTGAAAGTAAAATTGTTCACAAAGCTTACAAATTAAATTTAAGATGTTATTAACCAACTGTATTAAATTAGAAAAAAACTACATAAAATAACCCATACGGACCCATTAAATTGTCACTTGGCTTGAGTGTAAGCCTGATAAGGATGTTGCTGGTCCTCGGTCCCGCTGTTGTTACCACTTACTGGGACACTGGCACTAATAGGGTCCTAAAAACAATCTATTTTCAAAATGGTGCTTTTTATTAAATGCAAATTTGGAACAAGAACCCGTCTTACCTCTGAAAGAGGCACTGGCTGGACGAGTGGCGTATGTTGCGGATAGAGGGCTGCGGGAGCCGCCGGTCCGGTGTACGCGGGATGAGTGCCTGCCACGTACTGTAAATAGGTTTGAAAAATTAAGCCGGTTGAAATTGCAGACCGCAACTTAACTAAATTGTAAAAACTTACAGAGGTACCGGATAGATGAAGTTGAGACATCTGTGCTGTTAACTGGGGAACTGCTAATTGGGGCACTGTGCTATAATGTAAATGTTCCAGTGGTGATGATGGAATTACCTGTAAATACAATTATTAATGAACGGTTTAAATTGAGAAATTTCAAATGAATGACACTTTGAAATATTTACCTGAACGCCACTCACCTGATGCATTGGTGTTTGAACAATGTACTGATGCTGCGGAACCCAAGCCGTTCCGGGCTGAAGAGGATAGGATGACACGGGTGTGGAATACTGTCTCTGATAACCGGGAACAGGAGCCACGAGTTGAGCTGCAACCCTGAATAAATAAATTATACGAAATTACTTTTTTAAGAAAGAATGCCAACTACAATTCATTTGTCACTTTATGCCATTTATTCTAGGATGTTACAAAATACACTGTTACAGAGTATAGGAACACCATACATTTTGTGTTTTTTTCAAAATTTATTTTGAAATTATTACTGGAAATATTAATTATTTTTTATCATTATTTTAATTATTTTATCAGGTTTTTTACATTTCATAAAGCAGAATAAATTCTTCTTTACAAATATTCATTCTTTTGGTGTGTTACAAAAGTATAGGTACTGTACACCACTTAAGTGTCTCTTAAAACAATTAATTTATCATAATAATAATTAAAATTATCACAATTAGGATGTAATGTCATCATTTTTAACTGTCATGGTGGCTTTTTTGAATGTTTTATTGAATGTTATATAAACATTTTCAACAATGCCTCATGGAACTGTTCTTCAGAAGCAACAAACACATAAAATTTATTATTTGAATGGTTCAGGCAAGTCTCTGAGGCAAATTGCTGCTGCTGTAAATAGATCTACGAATGCTATTCAAGATGTTTTGCAACAAGGTAAAAATTATGGACAAAAAAGGAAGTCGGGACAGCCTAAATGTTTAACATGCAGTAATGAGAGACAAGTTTTGAAGCTTATAACTAATAAAAACATGTCAACAAGACAAGCTGCTGCTATATTACCAGTAGATGTATCACATGTGACTGGTTGGAGAACTTTAGAAAACAATGAAAATGTAAAATATTTAAAAATAAAGTTGAAGCCACCATTAACTGCCAAACACAAATCAATGCATTTAGACTCGGCTAAAGAAAAGATGGGATGGACTGAACAATGGCAAGAAATAATGTTTAATGATGAGAAGAAGTTTAATTTAGATGGCCCTGGTGGGTTTTCATATTAGTGACATGATTTAAGAAGAGAAAGACGAGTTAAAATAAGCCAGCAACAAGGGACTGAGCCTGTAATGATGGGGTAGTTTTGGAGGTAAATGGGATGGATGGGGAGGTAAAACTGATTTAGTATTTGTTGCATTAATTAGAGACCATTAGAGGTAATAAATGGTAGTTTCAACAAGATAATGCTCCCATTCATGGCTCAATGACAACAAAACATTGGTTTAAAAAAGAAAATATTAATGTAATTGACTGGCTTTCACATAGTCCAGATTTAAATCCCATTGAAAATTTATGGGGGATGTTAGTAGCCATTGTTTATCAGAATGGGAAACAATACGAATCTGTAAACCAATTGAAAATTCCAATAATGGATGCATAGGATGAACAATTAAAAAAATAATAAACTCCATGCCTAACAGAATTTTTCAAGTAATTGTAGCCAAAGGAGGCGTGAAATCAAATATTAAAAGTGTTTAAAATATATTTAAAAATTACTTTTGTGTAATTTTAGAAAGTGTACCTATACTTTTGTAATAATTAAAAAGTGAGAACTGTGATAACTTCTATTATATTATTATTAAAAGATAAAAAGCTTGAGAATGATATTTTTGTAATTGTTTTAAACATATAAAACTGTTTTCTATAAAAAAAATTTAAATAATTTTGGAAAAAAAAAATCACAAAATTTGTGGTGTTCCTATACTTTTGTAACAGACTGTAGTACTGTTTTAAGGAAAATATTTCTATTCAATTCAAATTTCAATACATATGATCATATAACACTTATTTAGAGAACAATCCACTACTGAAAACAAAAATTAATTTTTTCATTAATCATGATGCATCAGTATTTTATCAATATTGCTTCTTTAATGTTGTTTTCTATACAAAATGAATATAACTCCTAACTGGTTCCTATAAAAATATTAAGCAAGCTATCCTGTTTTCTCACAAACACAACATCAAATTAAAATTATATTCTTGGAAGCACGATTTGAACTACATAAATATCATATCAAAATAGCTAATAAAGACAGAAATTCATATTTGAGTAGTAAGGTAAACGAGGTAACATATTCTATTAAATACACCGAAGGATCAAACAGAAGTGAAAAGTTATTCTGTGTAGAAATGTACTTTTCAGGTTAGACTTATGACGAAACCTCGAGATCCTAACCTGTTTGTAAGAAAGCACCCGTATTTATAACTAGAAATGTTGAAAACAGATAACGTAGAATGGTAAGAAATAGTACAAGAAAAATTTTTTATTGAAGAAATATATACTCACCCATTTTGTGACATTCCAGATTGTTCATATGTTAAAGGTATTCCCTGAAAAATAAAATATTCAATATTTCAATGAAAATTACATTTTTCTTAATAAATTTTATTGTACAAAACATTACATAACCAACATATAATATAAATTAATCAAACTTTTTTGTCAAGGATTAATAAAGTGTCATCTTTATCCATTTTGATATGGCATCCTTGCCATCATTTTACAATTAAAAACCTTTCTTGTAGTTTCTAGCTAATTTTATTACTTCAAAATTGAGGACGTATTGAATTTTCCTATTCACAACCTACCTAAGCTAATCTCCAACTTTTCAAATTTATTTCATGACTTCAAAAAAATGACTTGGATTACAGATACTATTTTAAGTGTTTAATGATAAATCAGTTTTGATATAAGTGACAGCAAAAAAATTATTTAGTTAATTTATAATTAGAAAAAAATTATTTCGGTATGAATAAATATTTTCAGTAAATTGACAATGCTAACTCCTCAAAAACACAGTATAACTTCAATGTCCGTCAATATTCTATTTAAAGACTTCAAAAGATAAGTTGCAAAAACGACTAAACAAAAATGAATAAAATAAATACTTTGTTAGCTTATCTACAACATCAAATGTTAATTGAATACGTCCATTAAGTATTAGGAGATTAAAAGATTAAAGTCATTTCGAGTGTTTTAAATAAAATTAATTAAATTTTTTTGTAAATTAGTAAGAATTTAGAAAATTACATCAAAGTAATTTGAATCATATGTAGCTACTATTATTGCACAATAGATCTATAAAATTTCCTTTGTAAATGACTGAATGAAAGTTTTAAAAAATTCATGTAAATACAAGAATTTTTAAAAATACAAATTAAAATAAAAGTTCAACTATATTGCTAAAGACTATTACATAATTTTAACTTAGATTTTTAAAGAAAACAAACCATATGTTTTAAATCTTCCCAATTAATTTCCAGTTTGTTTTGTTTTCCATTCTGTCTACATAATATTTGCAGCCAACCCACTGACTAATTTAAACTATATTCTGGAAACTAGCAGATAGTGTGTGTTAATATATTTGAAGTGTAAGCAGAAATTGGGATCAATGTTTTCTCTGGAATATTTTAAAGTACGGTTCCAGACATACACAAGATAAAATTCATCTTACAGAACTTCTGGAATGTCTAAGTATTTTGGCAACAACTAACAAAATGTTTACACTATCATCAAAAGGAGAAATTAAGGAAAACATATGAAACGTGCATGCCATGAAGCTTATATTTACATCATTTTCATATTCCAGAGAAATGGTAACCTAGTACACGTTTTTTACCATTTTATTGTAAAATTGAAATGAATTCATTCACTAGAAAGAGTTTTTTTTCTTTTTTACTTCACCTGAAAAGTTTATTTTTTGGCATTTACAACATTATGGTATTGCATGCTTCATACACCATCAGAATAAGATATAAAAATAGTTATGTATCAAAAAAAGTAAAGTGTTAAGTCCAAATTAAGGTAACAAACGCTTCATATAACTCAAAACTGTATTTAACTTTCAAAATTAATACCACTTATTAATCTTGGCCCAAGATGGCAGCTTAACAATCAACTTCTTAACAAATCACAAAAATAACTCTGCAATTTTGATTTATCATTGGCTACCAAATTCCAGCTGGGTTGTATTACATATGAGCATAGGTATGACATTTTATTATTTTCTTTATTTATGACAGCTGCAGAAGAGATTAATTATTGTCATAGTTCATATAAATAAATAATTTCAAGTGTTCCTAATTATATTGTTTTCACCGCAGAAAATATTTTCAATTACGTCAAACAAACATTATAGATGTCAGTGATCATTTCTTAAGTAATTTTGTAATGATTTAAATGGAAGTATGATTTCTATGAGAAGCTATTAACTATATAATTTTTATGTACTATCTGTGCTATTTAAAAAAGTAAAAATATAGATAGGGTTTGACAACTATTTCAACATATAAAACTCTAACCTAATTAAGACAACTGTTACAGACGCAAGTTTTTAATTAACTTGCTTTTACTAAGACACTACAATCACGCTAATCCAAACAGTTTCTACCATTATGGATTTTATGGATTTGTCAACTGTACACTTGCAGCTCATGTATGAAGTAAATTACGTCACATGTGAGCATCACTGCTCATTCTTTCTGTGACCTTGTTTCATTTTACAGTAGCAAACAGATTAGAATAAAGTATCTTACAACAGTAAAAAATGGCATCAGAGCATAAGCATCATATCCCCATTAATCTGAACTACAAACAGTCTTCTCAATTAGTTCAGATTAGTGCAACTATGCCATAATATAAATAGCAGATTTTTGACTCTGTATTGTAAACTGATGCTAAATTCTTTTCAGCTTTGAAATATTCTAATCTAATGTTGATCTGGCCAAAATTTACCCAATTAATTTATAATCAACCACAGAATTTTTAAATATTTCTGTACAAAGATATTTTGTACACACACAAGTACTTATTGTCACTACTTTTTGCTTTTTACATTTCATAAGCAAGTGTTATGTTTGCTTATGCAAGTAGCTTTTTAGTAACTAAGCGTTAAATAGTTTTCAGTTCATAAATTAAAAATTAAAAAATATAAACTTTGCCTAAAAAATATGGTAAAATAAATCAATCAATCTAACATATGCACATGCAATGCTATGAATTCAAAAAATATTTTTTTTATTGAAATATAAAAAATTTCATTATTTTATGCTCTTTCCATCCTGTGGGTACTAGAGAATCTTTTTAATCAAGCCTTTCGCATATCTAACCAGGTACGCATATGATGAGGAACAAATCACCCCCAAAAAATTGAGTTTTTCGACTTGTTTGGAGTCATTCCCAGAGTCACCCGGCTGTCCGACCTAGATTTCTAAAGTTAATAAGTTGAGAAAGTATGGTTCACAGTACATATTGAATGTACTAATTTTTTCAATCGAGGAAATTTCAGAAAACAAGATTTCTTCAACAATTGGCCAATTTAAATTCTATCACAGAAAGCATGAAACAAAATTGGAGAGAGAAAATATTACACAGTGTTACAAACAATCTAAAGTTATTGTTCCGAGTACAACTTTTGCATTAATCTTTAATTAAATATTAAATTATTGGTGTTGTTCATTCTTAAAACAACTGTTTATTTAATTCTAACTAATTTATAGATTTATTTATATTAAACTGTCTAAATCAGTTTTCTGGTGTTTCTCTATTTTTATTATCATAAAAATAACAGCTTGTCCAAAGCCCAATAATTTGGCAGATTGTCTAGCTTTAATCAAAAATCTTGTTTGTTGAGATGAGTGAGAGTGTGTGTAATGCTACTGTATTGACTGATCAAAATAAAGTTTGTTTATTATCTATATACTTAAAGGAAAGGAAAGAAATGAAATTCATTAGGAGATAGGAACACTGAGTGAATATTCATCAATTAATCTTAGAGAAAGTGACCCAGAAAAGATTAAAATTAGATTTGGACAGAGAGAAAAAATAATCTTACTTCTCCTTCTCTCCATATCCGATGCTCTTGATTCTTATACTGATTTCTCCTTTTGTTACCACCATCGGCAAACTTTACTAGAAGAGGTTCTTTGGACCCTGTGACAGAAAATTTATTATAGATAACTTTTAATATTAATAAATTATATCAAAAATGGATTCTGTAAACAAATCACAACTCAACCTTGCAGTATGTTTCCGTTAAATGTAGATATTATGTGTTCACACTTTTCTTTACATTCCATCCTGAAATTGTATTAACTTCGTTTAATTTTCAGTTAGCAAAATTTACTAATTACACTCTAAAGGTATCTCACGCCAAGTTCTTCTCACCTTGCAAATCCAACACCTCGCGATTGCATGTTACTGTCTCGTAGGATTCGAGTAGAAATAACCGTTCCGTACGGTGCCAGCATGCCCTCTAAATCGGTTTCGGCCATACAGGGAGGGAGATTTGCAATGTACAAATTCGTGGGATCCTGCTCTTGTTGCTAAACAAAAAGATGTTTTAAAAATAAATCTCTCATTGATGTAAATATGTAAATTAGTACATACTTAAAACTTTTATAACAACATTTAATACTTTGATTTGGTAATCTTATAATATTTGGAATTACTTAATTATAAAAAATATTTTGATTTAGTTAAAAAAATGCAACCAAGTACCTAATAAAATATGTTAATATTCAGTGACACTATTAAATGTTATAGACAGAATATTTGAATGATTTTCTTTTATATTTTCTGAAATTTCACAAAACTAACACAAAAAGACAGATCACGTCTGATCTCTAGATTCTCAAAATCTGCATTTAATTTATTGGGAAGTACAGAAACATTACATCTAGAAATGAAATAACATACAATATTCACTTTATGATTTTAGAATACGAAATATTGACAATTTGTAAAATTCACGTAAATGGCAATTTTTATATTAAAATTTGCCATTTTAATTTTTGGTTTTGTGTTCCAAATACATTCTGTGATGACCTGACATTTCCTTTTGGGCTTCTTGGTTGCCAAAGTTTAAGCAGTACCATGGATCCCATGCAATAACACTGTACAGATAGAAAAGTAAGACAATTTCTGTTTTCTCTCTGCTCCAATTCTAAACAAAACATTTTAATCAGATATACATTTTTTTTTTCATATTTTAAAGAATTTTAAACTTTGGCAACCAAGTAGCCTCAAAGGAAAGGTGGGTCATCACAGTAGTGAATAAATGGGTGACCATTTCAACAGACCATCTTCAATTTTAATTAATAAAATTTGATATTTAACTTTGCTTACTTTAGTAATAGTTATGATTATTGTGTTTACAGATTATTGGAAAGTTTCAAGTAATTTATGCTCCAATTTAATGTTATCTGTTATAGTTTTCTGTAGTCTTAGCATTGTTAAAGAATATTTGAAAAATGAAATGTTTTTAGTAGAGAAGTATGTCAAGAGCTGCAGCTATCTTAGTGAGAAGCAGCAAAAACTAAATGTATTAATAGAAATATTCAAAGAGTGAGTGAGTGAGTATGTAAGTGTGTAAAAGGTATGATGATACTGAATTACTCTAAGTAACTTCTTTGCAAATATTGGTATCTTAAGAATAGTTAGATTACATGACAAAAATATACTTTTTCTTTTAAAAAAAGGAAAGTGGTATTATTTATCTAGTGTCTTTTTACTTAATTATTATTTGAACAGATAGAAACCTTGCACAAATTTACTTGGCCACTGTTGGTTTATAAGAATTTTTTATGTAAAAAGTCCATTTAAATGAAATAATTTCAATTAAGATATTTTGCTGAAAAAACAAACGATTAGGATTTTGCAATTTTCAAACTTTCTGACAATAATAAATATATGTATTCCATACCTTTGCCATTTGAGCCTGAACTCCTTGAGCTTGAAGGGCTTTTACAGCTGATTCGGCCGACACTGGAGATTCAAAATCCACAAAACCATAGCCTATATTTTATTAGAAATATAAAATTAAAGATTTAGAAATAAACAANAACTCAATTCAAAGGAATTTTTTTTTTGTAAGCAGTTTCCAACAAACTTTAATAAATTTTTTCTATTTGTGAAAATTTCTACGTAATTCAACAGTAATTTTTATACAGCATTATTATTATTTTGGAGGTTGCAGAACATATTAAGCTACTTAAAAAATGAAAAATAATTATATCATTTGATTTCACGATATTTTTTATATTTTAAAAATAATTAATTGTATTCCATAATCCCGAAACAAGCAAATGACTGGAAAATAGGAAACCCTAGTTTTAAGAGAACCCATCAATTAAAAAACAACATAAACAATGAAGACCCAGAAAGTCTAAGTAATTAATGCTTATAATTGACACTGTAATAATAAATTTTTTTTATTCCAAGACATGTATGAATGTTATTTTTATATACAACATATCAAACTTAATGCCAGATTCTACTGGTTTCAATTTAACAAGTTATATTATGAATAATTTGTCTCACATTGAAGTTAAAATACAAAAACAAATAATTTTGTAATATATATTACCACTTTAAACTGTCCAAATAAAGTCCTTTGGAGTTAAGTAGTGTTTTCACTTACAGGTTTGCCATGGATAATGCAAAACCTCAGTTAATTGGAACTCTTAAAACTATCTTCACTAAATTACAAATGCAAATTTCTTCAAATAAAACTTTTTATGTAATGTACATAGAATAATATGAATAATAAACTGACTCATAATTTTGATCAATTACATTATCTTCATTTTAAATTTTTTCCTAAATAATTAATTCCCGTCTATATTTAATCACCTTTATACAATATATAAATAATCTATTATATTTATAGTAAACAACAAGCACAGAACAGTAAATATTAAAAAGGATTAAATTAGGGATTAAATATATAGTATATTTAATCCATAATTGGAGTCCAAGTTAATTGTCTATGATNAATATATAAATAATCTATTATATTTATAGTAAACAACAAGCACAGAACAGTAAATATTAAAAAGGATTAAATTAGGGATTAAATATATAGTATATTTAATCCATAATTGGAGTCCAAGTTAATTGTCTATGATAAGATTTACATTTTCTTGTCATCTTTATAATTTAGAATACATTTCATCAATCAATTTCAAATACATACTGAATCACCAAAAAAACTATTCAACCTGTGAATATATATAACTTTATTTTCACTTAATCAGAAATACTTGATTGTGAACAGCTGAGAAAAAAGGAACCAATTTTAAAATTATATTGGACTTAGAAGTATATACTCTTGTGCAAAGACGCTCATAACAGCAAGTGGCACAATGGTAGAATCAGTTCTGCATTTGTTGAGTGAATGTGTCATACATAGTTTCACCACTTCTGTATAATCATCCTTGCATTTTGTATCATATGGCTGTTAAGCTTTTCATGCAACATAATCTTACTATTAATTGTGGATCCAAGAAAAAATAATATCCTCTATGAATTATGAAACTTTAATCCCATTATTCAGAGAAATTTATGTACGATCTGAAGTAAATTTAAAGCATTAAAATTGAAAGTATCTCATGTTTCATTAACTTAAAAGAAATGATGGACTTGTGGCAGGCAGATCATTGCTATGTTACTGTTGTAAACAATTTGGTCATATAAGACTAAACTATATGAAGATGATGAATAAAATGTAACATATTTGGTCAGACTTTCAAAACTTGTAACAGTACACTAAGATGGTCAGTAAAAATCTTTCCTGGCTAAATATTGTGGATAAAGAAAATTCTACAGAAATATCAGAGGACAAAACACCATCAAGATTAAGCAAAGTTTTTGTTCATAACAATAGTGAGTGCATTCTTGCTGAACAAAGCAGTTCTGGTCAAAAAAAGTGTGTCAGAAAATAAACATCTTCCAAGGCTTCCCCTGACAAATGAAGGAAAAAGAACAGCAAGAAAATAAAATTTCTGTCAAATGTTCAAGACAGTGATAAATATGCCAGGCATATTGTATATAAGGTAGCCTCAAATTTTCCCAATTTACCCTGCATTAATAAATTTCATATTTTGAAGTTGTTGAATACTCAAGAAATAAGCAACCTTCGTCTCCACCCAACAAATTTTCACTCAAGCATAATAGCAAACAAGGCTCTGAATACAAATATAAGGTAATGCTTGTTCCACAATCACATTAATTGCAACAAAATGTAAATGTTATGTTTTTTTTTCTGGTTAAAGTAAATGTTCTTAAAAACTTCAGAAACTAGATCAATTTCTAGAATATCTATTAAAAATAATGCACACATTAGATTACTCCAACATACAAATGATAACTGGAACTCAATCTCGTAGATGTACAAGATTGACAGCTGTTTCAAAACACATGAACGTGTTCTAACAACTAAAGCAGAAAGTACACTTCGTATTATTAATTAAAATAGATACTGAGTTTATCCAATAATGAGGAGGCCTATCATATTGCAATATTGCATGCACTAATAGTATCATTAAAGGTGGTAAGTAATGTATCACTGTTCCTGAAAAATTGCCAATGACATTTCAATATTCAGTGATTAGTGATTTCTAAAACTAGTGAAAAACTGACCATAAAAATATCAACCAAAGTTACAAAGATTCACTTATTTACATAAATGGAGCTGGCCTATTTTACCTTTTGAACAAATAAAACACACAGAATGTTTCTTCTGTACTCCTGATTTTCTGAATTAATCACAGCTAATGGAGTCATGGATAATCCTCAAGTCTGTTTAATGAAAGAATCAATTTTTGTTTCATTTATCAAGTTATAACATAAATTTTGTCCAATGTACTGAAAACTCTTCACAATGGTACAAGAACTTGCACAAAAGCTATGTCAGTCAAATGACCATTCAACAGCACTTGAAACAGCTGGGAAAATGAGTGCTGCATGACCTTTTGCTGGCGTAACTTGAACAGTATGTCAATGTGTGCATTCCATTGTACTCTCATTATCTCCAGGCTCTACTTTTGGATAAAAAATGGATACAATAGAAGAGTATTAATTGTCACCATTGATGTGTCAGTCCTGGAAATAAAGCAGCACTTCAGCCAAAAGCCAGTCTTTATCCAAAATGTGATGCATTTTGAGTTACTGGAAAAGAATAAAACCATTACAGCTGAAGATGTAGTTGTGTAGTTGATGAAACTTTGATTCTGATTGGCTGTGTACCAGTAAAATCTTAAAAATTTACAATAATATTTTGTATTATGTTTTATTTAAAAAACAAAAATTACCTTTTAACTTAGAAGTTTGATCTAAGTTCAGTTTTTCTTTAAATTTTCAACTCAATTCAAAGGAATTTTTTTTTTGTAAGCAGTTTCCAACAAACTTTAATAAATTTTTTCTATTTGTGAAAATTTCTACGTAATTCAACAGTAATTTTTATACAGCATTATTATTATTTTGGAGGTTGCAGAACATATTAAGCTACTTAAAAAATGAAAAATAATTATATCATTTGATTTCACGATATTTTTTATATTTTAAAAATAATTAATTGTATTCCATAATCCCGAAACAAGCAAATGACTGGAAAATAGGAAACCCTAGTTTTAAGAGAACCCATCAATTAAAAAACAACATAAACAATGAAGACCCAGAAAGTCTAAGTAATTAATGCTTATAATTGACACTGTAATAATAAATTTTTTTTATTCCAAGACATGTATGAATGTTATTTTTATATACAACATATCAAACTTAATGCCAGATTCTACTGGTTTCAATTTAACAAGTTATATTATATAAATGCTCCACTTTTGCTAATCTGGCAATTCCTTGCACAGAGGATTGCCAGATTTGCAGAAATGCCAGATTACTGAGTGTGTAGAGTTCTGAAGCTTTTAGTCCTGTACACACTCAATGAATGACATGATATGCTGGACTGGAAAAGTGTTGGATAATTGAGAGGTCAAATTAGCAAGTGTACTGTATTAACAAATAGTTAATAATTAACTATGAGTATCTATTGAAGAGTTTTTGAAACAAATTATCATCAATATTGTACTTTATATTTTAAGTGTATGAATAAAACAGCATAATTTAAACTAATATCTATATTTTGATTTTATTTTAAAATACAATTTTATGAAGACATCTACCATAGCACACCTTTGTAGTTAAAAAAACAGTTTTAAGTAAGTTACAACTGAATATCACTGATTTGAAGATGCATCATAGTTTTAAAATTAATTTTTAAGATTTTCTTATGGGGAGAAAATTTTAAAACATATAATTTTATAACGTTTTGTTATGTAAAAACAGGCTAGAAAAACAACATAAATGTCATAAAGTTACTACCAATTCCATGTTCTTCTGTGTATACAATAACTTTTTCAATTTTTAGCCGAATCGTAACACTGTCTCAAAGGCATTTGAAATGTTGACACAGCCATCAAAATATAGCAGAAAATCCAATGAATAATGCACAATGCATGCTATTCATGATGACTGACAATTGCTGTTTCTGACTGCAAATGTAAGACACTGTAGATTTTAAGACCTGCCTCCAGTTTGGACAAGTAAAATTATGTAGAAGAGAGTCTCAATAGTCAAGAAACACATTAATTTTTATTACTCACTAATATTTCTAGATAATTCGGCCATCTGGGTGTCTTTTCAACAGTTTCTAAATAATTTAATTATAACAATAATTCAAAAATAATGACTAAAATGTTAAAGATTTTTGCTGGAGAATATTGCACGTTCACATTTATTGTACTAGAAGTGACATCAGTTAATCTTAATGTTTGTGTACACAAAAAAAATACTGTAAGTGATTTTATTACTCAAGAGATTATTTCATCTCCACCACATTAAAAAAAATCAATTACTTTTCTCAAATTAAAGGAAAGATTTGAATCTCACCATTAACTACCCTTGGTTAATTATTGCCATTGTTTTATAACATTCCGATGCATTCAAATATTAATTATAGGAAAATTTCACTATTTCCAACAATATATTTAAAAAGTGGATTTAATGTAAGGTCAAATAAAAAACATTTCATTATCTTAATACCTGAAAAAAATTAATTACTTACCTTTACATTTATTGGTATTTTTATCCAGTATTGCTTTAGTTGATATTATATTTCCATATCTGAAAAAGAAAAAAATTTAATATAAATTAATAACTGCAATTTTATAAAAATTATTTAAAATTTACAATCTGAAATGGTTACAACTAGGCAACTATGAATTAAAAATATCGCATAAATTACATTAGAGTATTAAAGGATAAAGTATTAAATTTATGCAATTCACAACACTCAATGCAATTCTCGCTAAGCATCACAAAATTATCATCAGATACAGTTTGCTGATAAAATTTATAAATTTAATTTTCAAAATTATAAGTTTGACTTAAAACCAAAATTAATTAATAAAACACAATTATGGAAATTTTGTGGGATTAGTTTCATTTTGTTATACTTTTCTATTTATTGTATGAAAAATTGTGACTTTTTATTACTTATCTCATCACACAAATTTTTTAGTTCAGTTGAGTACATACATTATATACACTGGGATAAACTCCATAATTTAAATTAATTTTCAGCATAATTCTAGTACAAAATTAATGACTTAAATATGTTTGACTATTAGTTAACCCACCTTTATTTCGTGTTATCAGTCAGTACTTTTCTAGATATATATCAAACATGATCGTTGATTTAAAACTGCATTTATTTATTCTCTAGCTTTAAAAGCTGAAGCTACTATCACTTAAATATATAAAGTACTTATATCTTAAACCAAACCTTTTGTAACAAGCTCCAAGCATTTACTTCTATGTGAATACAGCAGTAACTTGGCTCTAATGTGCACCACAGTTTAAAATTAATTTTAAGATTTTCTTTTATAAAAATAGGTTTCCAATTCAATTCATTTTAAGTTTTGTTAAATAATAACAAGATAGAAAAACTATAAAAATGTCACAAAATATATAATGTTTTATGGCTCTATTTCAACACTGTGTATAAATAATTTAATACCACACCTTAAAAGACATTTTAAAGCTTATTTAAGCTGATCTGCCCATTGAGCATTATGGCAAAAAAATGCCTATTATTAGTGCATAATGCATATTCGATCCATCCACGACGACTTCCAATTGAATAGTGGATATAAGATGCTGCGCACTAAGATGCATTTCTGTTTAATCCATTTTTACTTGTCATCTTAGAATTGAGGAAACATAGTACACATTTAGCCACATTATTCTGAATCAACTAGGCTTCATTCATTTATCATATGCCCGAAATGTCTTTATTAGACAAAAACATATAATGGTAATGCTCCTTAGAAAGAACATTCAGAGTTAATTTTCTTTAACTACTTGCTTTGATGATATAAATTCCACTTAAAAAAAATATATAAATCAAATTCAATCTAACTATGAGTATCTATTGAAGAGTTTTTGAAACAATTCAGGATTATGACAACAGAAAAGACTTTACATCAGCTAATAAAATAATTGGAAAACTTAAATGTTAGCATGCATAATGAACTTAATGATTTAATTTTGGAAATTAAATCAATAATTTTTCAACAAACTGCATTTAACTTATGAATATATAGAAGTGTAACAAATAAGGAGAAAAATATTTTATTAAGAAATTACCATGAATACAGAGATTATCTTTTAAAAAAACTTTCATTTACATAGATAAAAACTGCGTTTTTGAAGGAGATACTTACCAAATGATACTATCTGATCGACAAGAGAACAATTTAGAAGAAAGATATGATCTAAACAAAGAATATAGAGCAAATGAAGTTAACGAGACAGTCGCAGGAAAGCGTATGCTCTCAGTCCGTTAACACCTTAATTGGATCCAAAGCCCATAGTGGACTCAAGATAAAACATTTCTATATAACTCGGCCTTTTAAACCACAAAGAAAATGCTGAAGTCCATCTGTTGAAGACAATGATATTTAAAATTATCTAAACTTTGCTTGCTTGGATTTTGTTTTATTATTTAACATCTATATATCATTTTAATTCAACAAGATATGAAGCAAAACAAGCAAATTTTAAAACAAAATAAAATTTTTGATGACATTTTCAGTAATTTCAAAGAAACAGAATAAACAACTTTTTTTTTAATATTTATTTTTTAAAATAAATATTAAATGTAGAGAACCATGAAGAATTATATATTTATAAGATCCTGCATACAAATTTAAAATAATATTGTTATTTATAAACAATACTTGAATTTAAATCATTTATAGAGTTTCGTAGGCTTGGTTCTGTATTAAAATGAATAGTAACAATATTTTTATGCAGATAAGCATTCTTCTTGATGTTTAATGAAGGGATTGATAATGCTTAATTTGTCAAAGCTGCCTGGCTTTGGAAACCAGACTTATTTGCATTTAATCAATAGAATTGTCATATTAGATCATTGTAAATGTCAAAGATATTTAAGACATTATAAAAAATACTGTATCTATCCAGTTAAACAAGAATTATCTATACTACTTAAAATAAAACTGAAATGCTTTCCTTACTCTTAATCTACAAAATAGTGTTCCTACGTAAGTTAAATAAGATGTCGGCTAAATGGCAGTAAGCAGTGATTCAATTCAAGAAAGTAAATTTAAAGGAAATAAAATTAAGAAGGCTTATAATTCAAGTCATAAATCTGATCAATCTGGGCGAGTGAAGTTAATAAATAACAAAACAGCTTTTATGTTTTTTCATGTACTACTATAATCATTGTAACTTACTAAGAATGATTTTAAAAATGATTTAGAAACTGATACAATAAAATACTAAATACAAACTGTTGAATTTAGGAAGTTTTCAAATTCTATTGCATTTGAAAAGTTTTATTTTTTTAGTGATTGATTGAGAAATATTTTATAAATTTAGAAAACTAACTAATAATAAACATCACTATAGCATGTAATGAAGAGGAGCTAAAGCCAAAATGCATGCATGTTAAGAATGGTAATAATATATATATATTGGATGATATTCTCACCTGCTCATTCTGTCATTCAGAAGAAATGTTGCTATTTACATCAGAAATTGAAAAACACGTTATTTAGTTATGAAGTATTTCTGGATCAATCAATACTATAACCTGATCCATAATTAGTAAAATTTATTTTTCAGCTTGTATGAAAACTTTGAAGGTAAAGAAAGAATTAATTTGTACGTAGAATATTTCTGAACTATTAAAAAATTTGTACTCGCTAAACATTTTAAATTCTTTCCCCGCAACAAAAAGATTAACACATTTGCAGTTGTTTATTATATGAGTATCTTGTATGTGGAGTATACTGGGTATAAAAAGTGAGCTGTTACATGTGTATAACAATTACCAAATTAAATATTTTATATTGAGATCGTGACAAACAGTTTTCAATATAGATTAAAAATAGTGTAAAAATAGTGTAAGTACAGTACTCAATCCAATACAAATAGACTTTAATTTTCAATGTTTCTAGACAGATTTCTTAAAAATGACTGATGATGATAAAATATTGAACTAGGCAACTAGTAATTATATTTTAAATTTAAATAATTTTAACGAAATTTTATCCACAAAATGTATCAAACAACAATGCAGAGTTATATCCAATATTTGACAAACAAACAAACAAACACCATCTACATTGATTGTTAAAAAAGGTAATTGCATTCTCTGAAATTAATTTTTGTAATTATTAATTTCCATATTGCTAACTGTAAGGTCAATTAAATTTAAGAATTTTAATTATATTCTTAAGAATAATTGAATGAAATTTGTGGGTTGGCAGTCTATTAAAAAAAACTGAAATAAAAATTGCAATACATATTTAAAATGAAAATTTCACAAATATTTTTCCTTTTACTAAACTATTTTCATTTAAATGTTATTACATAAATTAAAATTCAGTAAATTTAACTGACAGATTTATTGATTGACACAAAGTATCGGCACATTACCAGACTATGCAGTTGGGTTAAGGAAAGACCAACATGCAGAGTGTTTTAACTAGCAATTAGTAGTAGTAGTAGTAGTAGGAACAGGAATGACATCACAATCTGTACTGTCCTATTAGATTATGGGAAAAAATTTTATAAATTTAATTCAAATCTTTATACAAAAACATGTGGACTGAAACATGAGTGACTATTATTATAATGATTGGATTAGAGAGATAGCTTCCAATACGAAAGTATTTCTATATAGGTATTAAATTCAATTTTCCACTAAAATACCTTCAAATATTTAGATTTAATTTAGAATTCTGTCAAATCTTAAATATACAGAAAAGTTTCTCTTGCTTCCAATATAGATACAATTTTTAGAATATTTTAACATATAATTAACGTATAATATTCTGTTGTAAACTGTGTCATACAGCAAGAATTTACACACATTACCTAGTTCAAATTTTTTAAAAATGTATAATGTCAAAGTCTAGCAATAAGAAAATGTTGGGTGATATCAAAATTAGCATAAAATAAATAAAATTGTTTTATATTATTTAATAATAATGATAATCATATCATGCTGTTAAAATCCAAATTAATTTTATGGTAACAAAACAATTTCCATCTTAAGGATTAAAAATTGAATTTATTTTTCCATGGACAATGCTTCAGAATAATAGAAATGTCATCAGGAAATTTGTCCAGAACTGAATAAAATATTAGAAAAACAAAAAAGCTTATGAGTATTTACTGTAATTGTTGTTATAACAACTTTTATAAGAAAACAATCTTTATTATATTTTCAAAACTTACGTGGTTCCATACAATTTCACAACATGGGAATAAATCAATAAATTCATTCGACTAACACAAAACAAAAAGTAACAAATTTAACTACAGTAGAGTCCCGCTAGTCCGAACTAATTGGGACCAAGCCCTGTTTGGAATAGCCAAATAATTAAAATAATGCAGAAGCAAGCAGTAAAACAGGTCCAATTTATATAGATCCAACACCATCAATGACTTTTGTTTCTGTTTTTGTGTGTAAGTACAGTGTAATCTGCTGTTTTAATAGGCCATGCCAAACACTGATTTATTAATTTTACACAGTATTAATACAGTACTACAATAATATACAATTTTTTTGTTGTGGAATTCTAAATCG